TATGTTCAACACAGGGGTGAAAGAAAATTCCAAAGAAATAATTCGAAAGAAGAAACATCTGAAGGTGCAGCAGAAGCTTGATGGCACAGTCAACTAAGCTTCAAGCTGTCAACTGAAAGGGTAGGTCACATCCACCAGCTGCTCCAAGAAAGAAACGTGGCAGTCTCCATCTATAACAATTTACACTTTTGGAAACCCTATGAGGCAATTCTACTCTGTTCCAGAATCAATTCAGGGGCAGTCAATGGGAAGTACATCAGAAACGTTAACTGCAACCTTATTAGTAATAATAAAAAATCATTTAAAAATCTAAATGCTCAAACTAAGGGGTCCTGTAAGCATATAATGGTGGCAAAAAATGCTAAGGTAAAACACACACACACAAAAATGCATTTATATAAAAAAAATCTAACAAAGCAAGTATAACCATAAAACCATGTGTCTATGTATACAAAGACAAGAAAGAAAAAATTTAAATCAGTAATTTGTTCAAAGAGTTGTAAGTAACTCACTATATTTCTTACATAGGTACATACTGCTTATATACGTAGTCTTCACTTCAATGAACTACACTTAGTCCTACTGTCTGTCTTGCAGATATGTAGAGTTGTGCTGCTAACCCAGAGGCCACACTTCTCTGGCAGTTCGAATCCACCAGCTGCTCTGGAGGAGAAAAATGGGTGTTCTCCTCCAATGTGATACACAGTCTCTGAAATCCACTAAAGGGTCAGCTATGAATGAGTTGTGATTCAATGGCAATGAGTTTGAGTTCTGCATTTTATCACTAGTAATATGTACCATATAAAATGTCACAGCATTATTTGCTGATGTTCTCACTCTCAAATGTTCATTCAAAGAGATTCAATGTTATGATTTACCATGAAAGGATTAGCTCAAGTTTTCTAAACTAAATCAGGGGGTTCAATTGTTAACGTTAATAAGCACATCTGGACAACAGTGAGATAGTATCATGAAATACATGAAGAAAAAGGCAAAGAAGTCATACAGACAATTCTCACTCATTTTCTGACTAGAAACACCATCCTCATATCTATGATCCAGAACTTTCCAGAGGTAGAGTTTTTACCACAACTGACAAAATGCCCATATATCTAACTCTTAATTACTGATGATTTGTATATTCTTCTCGTATGTATATATGGAAACTTATTTGTAAACTTAAAGGTAATATTTTTAATTTTCAAAGAAAAATAAGATCAAATTTATATATATATTGACAATGAAATGCATGATTATAAAACTGGATGTTTCACCAATCTTTCACCTGTGGAGCAGCTAGTATATTTGAGTCCTATTCCTTCACATTGTATAAAACACCACAGAGAGAGAGAGAGAGAGAGAGAGAGAGAGAGAGAGAGAGAGAGAGTGTTTAAAAAAAACCCTACACTGCATATGGATGACTGAAAATCAGTAATGTATTTTTTTAAAAAGTTAAAAAAAGAACTAGGAGAAGGGGGATGATGAGATATTCAACTTAGATCAGAATCATAGTGGAGTCATCACAAGGGAAAACATCTTAAGGCAAGAACAACTTCCATTATTTTTTATAAGCAGGGGATTTGTTTTGTTTTGATGGGCTTTTTTAGACCTCAGAGTAACAAGAAATGAGTTACTATTTCTCAATGGTATCTTGTTTAAGGTCAGACATTTTTAAAATTCCTATCTACCACTTCAACACTTAATAAATCAGAAGGAAAAAAGCGAGAAATTAAGAAAAACTGAGCCACAGTAAAGCAGCAGAAAGAACCCTGCTGAGGCATTCCTACGCTCCATGAACTCTCTTTGCTCATTTGTAAACACTGGGCTTTATGAGGCTTAGGCTCTGACCTCATCTCTTTACTATCTTCTATCTAGACAGAAGCAATGAGATATTGCTCCATTACTTCAATAACTGTTCTGTGGATAATTCCTAAAGCTCTATTAAAAATTTTTCAACTCTTGAATTGCAGATTCATTATTTTCTAGGTACCTTCATCTCATTCAAGGAGCTCTGGTGGTATAATGCATTGTGTGTTGCACTGCTGTTCCATAGGGAAAATAAAAAGTCTCGTCTCATAAAGATTTGAACTGTGCAAACTCACCAGAAGGCCACTATGAGTCAGAATCAGCTTGACAGCAGGAGGCTTAGTTTTGATTTACGGGCCTCTCATGCTCTAATGTTTTGGTTTGGTTTCCCCCATTAAGGAGCTCTGGAGGCACAGTGTACTGCATGCTGCATTGTTGCTTTATCAGTAGTCCTAATCTGCCAGGGGCTTTGCAAGAGAAAGATAGGTATTTTCCGTCTATAAAGATTTACAACCTTGGAAACAACCATTCATTAGAACTGACTCGGCAAGAAGTTTTCACCCCACTGACATCTCAAAGTTTCCTATCTTAAATTCCCTGTTCCTGTAACAACACCTTTCTACTCACATTTGGTAGTATCTTCCTCTCTATGCCCTTCATCGCACTAAAATACTGTCATGATCTCTACAGTATTACTTTGATTCTTGCTCTCTCCTGATCGTACATTAATTACAACTGTATTTATATCATGAAAATTGGTTGGCCATATATAGAAACATGTTGTTTTTGTTTTTTTTAGAGACATATTTAAGAAAGATCACAGCCATCTAGAATAGCGGTAACACCTAGTAATAAGATAAACGCTTTATCAGTGGGAGAGGAAAGGAGGCGAAAAAGTTTATATAATCCCACGATAGAATATAGAGCTCTGAGAATAAGAACTAAAAAATCTACAGCAACACACACAAATCCTGGCAATAGAGAGAGAGAGTGTGAGTGTGAGTGTGTGTGTGTGTGTGTGTGTGTGTGTGTGTGTGTAAAATTGTTAAGTGCTGTTGAGCTTGCTATGACTTATAGTGACTCTATGAACAGTGCATCTGAACCCTGTCCTGTCCTGTGTCATCCTCGTCATCTGACACACTCAAGCCCACCATTACAGACACTGTGTCAATGGAAAAGCAAACAAACATTGCTGAGCTTACTGTTTAATGAAGTTAAAAAAAAATTACATAATATTTGTAAATACTTAAAAATGCAAATGCAAAATTTATACACACACACACAGAGAGAAAGAGAAATTGTTATTTGGTACTGTCAAGCTGACTACAATTCATAGCAACATTATAAAAAACAGATTAGAATCTTGCCATATCCTGCTCCACAGCCACAATCTCTACAATACTAAAGAACTGAGCAGAATCTAATTTCGGATTCATGTATCAGAAACTCAGGGTGAAGAAGGAGCCAAAATTAAAACAATACTGTTAAGGGTCTGGATTTTGTTTTGGTGGGAAAGAATAGTTTTCCTCTTGAAATGATCTTAATTAAAATAGATATGCATACTAATCTCTCATTATTTCCAATGATGAGAATCAGTGACAAACTGTTCTTTAAGACTAGGACTAACTATAGCCTAAGAGAGCTGATGTAGAAAGCTCTCAACCTAGTTTATTAAGAGCACACACAAACCTGCAGGTTAGGTGACTGAAGGTCAGATGTTACCAGGGAATGGTTGAAATGGTAAAGTGCAGCAGCAAACTCTTCATCTGATGAACCTGAAGACAAATAGATAACTAATTATCTAAGCAGCTACTTCATGTATCACACCACTCTACCAATGGTCAAACTCCACCAGGAAAGCATGTGTAAGGCATACATCTACTAACCCTTCAGTCCATCTTTGTCCACCTCTTTGATGATACTGGCCAGGGTGGCCATGTGATGTTCTGAAAGTGATACACTAAGATAGTTTCGAATAAAATTGTTCCGAGAGTTGAGCATAGAAGAGGTGATGAAGTTCAAAATATTGGAAGCCAGACCTAAGAACTAAAAAGTAAATATAAAAAATAAGAAGAACTTATAGAAAATTAATAAACCCAGAACTCCTACAAATCCTGACTACAAATAAGACTAAAAGCGTTCATAGGTTTTATGCACTAGGCACATTAAATTCAAAGCGCCTACAGTGGGACTAATTATGAAAATATTCTGTTAATTTAACTAGATACACAAAGTCGTACACCAGTTTAATACAAAAGTCTTTACAAAATAATAGTAAATGTGAGACATACAAAAAAACCGATCCATTCCTTCCATACCTTCTCAGATCCTGTCTTTTTCTTCTTGTTCTAGGATATTACTGATACAGTAAATTCTGACACCTGTATTAATGGCCAATTTTATATGTGTAAAATTGATATTCAGAAATCAGTGTGTAGGTGTTTTATGTCCAGACTCTTGACTAAACTATAACATTATGAAGATGAAGATTATGTCTGACATGTTCACTGATATATTATTGAAATGAGAGGTCTCACATTTATTAGGTAATGATAAATGTTGGCTGAAAAGTAAGCAAGCATTTATTCTGTACCAAATCTAAGCTACAGGCTTTTAAAATATTCTCTAATTCTTTATAGCCTTCTATCAGGCAGGTAAGAAGTTGCAATGCAAATCCAAAGACAGGAGATTTAAATCCATAACCTATTTCAGAGAAGAAAGATGGGCAATTACTTCCTATCATTTGAGATTTACAGCCTCTTAAAACTCAGCAGGAGGGTCAAGTTTAAGTCAGTTCCAACTAGACTATATATAATAACAGTACATCAGGCATTCTCATATTATAGGAGACAAATTCAGGCTTAAAGAAGTTCAGACTCTTGGCCAAAGTTACAGAGCCAGTAAGTGAGTGGAGAAGTCAAACCCATTTCTGACTTCAAAAGCTAAACTGATGCTACTTTGTGCAACCAAGGTGATCCAACTCATAGTGACCATGAATACTGGAGTAGAAGTGCACCACAGGCTTTCTTAGACCTTTTCAACTCTTTACAATAAGTTATTTGTTCTTGTTATGTGCCATCGAGTCATTTGCAACTCATAGCGACCCTATGTACAACAGCCCTAAACCCTACTCTATCCTGTGCCAATGACACTGCCTGACACACCCATCCCGATTACCCCAGTCACTGAATCAATCCATCTCATAGAGGGTCTTCCCCTTGCGCCATCCCTCCACCCTCCCAAGCATGATGTCCCTCTCCAAGGACCTGTCCTTCCTTGCTACATGCCCAAACGAAGCCCCAGAATCCTTGCCTCCAAGAAGTTGCTTGGTTTAATCCTCTCCAGGATGAATCTGTTTGTTTTCTTGGCAGTCCATGCTACAGTCAATACTATTCTCCACCACCACAGCTCAAAGGCATCAACTCTCCTTCTGTCTTCCCTAGTCATTATCCAACTCTCTGATGCATAACAAGTGAGTGCAAAGATCATGGCCTGTACCAGGCGCACCTTAGTCTCCAGAGACACACTGTTGCTCTTGAGTACTTTAGAGAGGTCCCTAACAGCAGACTTTCCCATCACAATACGTTTTTTGATTTCCTGACTGCTGGTGCCAAGATTGTTGACCGTGGAGCTGAGCAAACTGAAGCTGTGAACAATCTCAATCTCTTCACCATCCATCCTGATGCTACCAATTGGTCCAGTGGTGAGAATCTTTGTCTTCTTGACATTGAGCCTCAGTCCATACTGAAGGCTGCAGTCCTTGACTCTGTGCAACAAGTGCATGAGGTCCTCCTCAGTTTCAGCAAGCAGGGTTGTGTCATCTGCATAACGCAGATTGTTGATAGATCGTCCACCAATCCTGACGCCACAATTCTCCTCATAGAGCCCAGCCTCTCGGATAATCTGCTCTGCATACAGGTTGAAAAGGTATGGAGATAGGACACATCCCTGGCGTACACCCTTCCCAATTTTGAACCATGCAGTGTTACCCTGCTCTGTTCTGACGACTGCCTCTTGATCCAAGTATAGGTTTCGCATTAGCACGATTAAATGTTCTGGGATTCCCATTCTTCTCAGAGTCAGCCACAGTTTGTTATGATCCACGCAGTCAAATGCCTTTGCATCAACAATGAAACACAGATAGACATTCTTCTGGTATTCCCTGCTTACAGCTAAGATCCATCTAAAATCAGCTACAATATCCATTGTACCACGTCCCCTTCTAAACTCAGCCTGGACTTCTGGCAGTTCTCTGCTGATGTACTGTTCCAGTCATTTTTGGATAATCTTCTGTAGAATCTTGCTTGCATGTGAAATCAATGATATAGTTCTGTAGTTTCCACACTCAGTTGGGTCGCCCTTCTTTGGGATGGGAACAAATATAGACCTCTTCCAGTCAGTTGGCCAAGTGGTTGTTCTCCAGATTTTTTGGCACAACTTGGTGAGCATATCCAGGGCAGCATCTGTTAGCTGAAATACGTCATGGTATACCATCTATTCCTGAGGCCTTATTTTTTGCTATTTCCTTCAAAGCAGCCTGAACTTACTCTCATTTAATATCAAGAATATAAGCACAAAACAAACCCACCACTATCAATTCTGATTCAAGGTGACCCTCTATTGGGATTCTGAGGCCATAAATCTTTATTGGAAGAAACTGCCCATTTTTCCCCCATAGAGTGGCTGGTGGATTCAAACCACAGACCTTTCAGTTAGTAGCCCAACACCTAAGGCACTATCTCACCACCAAGGCTACTTAAGTATAAATAAAATGTCTTTAAACATTAGTTATCAAGCCTACATAATATGTTAATTCAAGTAACCTACCTCTTACATGCCTCCCTTCTCATGTCCCCTACTTCTAAAATCCTCTAAAACCCACTCTTACCAATTCAGGATCTTTTCGACTAGCCAGAATGTTGCCTTTCTCCCCAGTGGTCTGCTTACTGGGGCTTTTAACTCGAGGAGAGCTCTCCAGAGGAGGAGGTGGGGGAGGAGGAGGAGGTGCCACTTTCTCTTTAGTTGGGGAGATGGTCTCCTCAAACCACTGCCCCAAAATAGGTTCACTGTCATCATCTAAATAGAGAAAAAGAAAAGTTAACAAAATAGTAATTTTTTTACATAGTTTAAAGATATTTTATAAAAGTACCTAAGTCAAAACAGAAAGGCAAAGATACCTTGATTGGTTATATGGTTGAATACATTTGTCAAAATGCTTATACTAAAATGGATTCTTTTATTGTATATTATGTTGTTATTGTTGCATGTCATAAAGTAGGAACTGATCCGTGGCTGACCCTCTAGTGGGTTTTCAGAGGCAGTAAATTGCACGGGAGGAGAATATCTATCCTTCTCCCACGGAGCGGTTGGTGGATTCAAATCACATGCCTTCAGGAACTCAGTGCAGCTTCTTACCAGGCCACTAGAGGTCTCTATACTAATTACACTTCAATAGAATCCATTTAAATAAACAAGAAAACTCTCACTTACTTTACTGGTAGTAACAAGTCAAATATTTTCAAGAACAAACTTATAGCTCTCTTTATCAATTATAAACTAACTCCCAGATAAGAATCATGACTCTCTTGTTCTTTTTTTTTTCCTGTTTGCAGTGTGCCAAAAACTTTGGTTCCACTTCTGACTTTCCAGATGTACCTCCCCCGACCCCCTTTTTAACTCTTTTGCATGGCCTACTTCTATTTTTCACCAGGTAAGCCTCTGTTGCATTACCTTAACAAAACTTTTTCACTTATTTTGCCAAATTAAATAAAAAACAAACCCAACTCATGCCTCTCTTAATAGTGCACACTGCTCCCACAAACCTTATAATAACTAAGAATTTGAGAAGTGTGTCTTATCCTTCTCCAAGCTATGGCAGGAGGGAATGCTAATTCTGCTTTCTTATTCACTACTTGGGTTTCTTCTCCAATATCTATGCCAACAATCAAACTAAACACCCCATACAGTAAATAGGTTTGAGTTACACTCAAGTTACCTCAACTTTGAGTATGCATCAGCAAAGTTCTGAGTTCACAGAATAGGTAAAGACAGAAAGAAATGTGAACAACTGAAACGCACTTTGGTTTTAGAGATAAAGAATGAAAAGAAAGCTGTGCTGATAGTTTTTAATACTTCAGTCTATAAAACCACTATCTATGTATTATTGTTGTTGTTGTAGTTGTGTGCTGCTGAATCCATTCTAACTCATGGAAACGCTATAGGACACACACAGAATAGAATTTCCAAGAAGTAATCTTTGTGGAAGCAGATTACCACATCTTTTGTGCACAAACATAAAACAGTATAAACAGGAAACTAAAAAAAAATCTACTTTAGGAGTCTGCCTTTTATCTCTGTAGGAGGGAAAAGAGAGGCCTCTACCTTGGCTGCTATCCTCCTCAGTGCTACTGAAATCATCCTCGTAGTAAGTATTGGAGTCAGTAGAGGCACTGGCATCACTGCTCATGGAGCCCTTCCTCTGACGTTGCAGGACACACGCCTAGGGAAACGGAAGCTTTTGTAACCAATCATTATCCAAAAATCAAATCATCCTATTTATTCTCATTCACTACACAGAATGTTTTCTCCATATTCTTCTTTTTTAAAAAAGCTGAAGAAGTATTCCCATCATTTATCTTACAAAAGCACGTCCTCCGGCATAGATCTAAAATGAACTGCAAAAAGATAATGTTCTTTGTATTTTACTTCAGCATGCCAACTGTCACAGACCACCTAGTAGACATGTGTATAACAATGCTGTCAATCAGTAACTATTTCAAATATTTCAGTATGTTCAACCAGTTAAAAACTAATTTCATCTTCAAAAGCATTACTGTAAACTTAAAAGTCAAGGTATATGGCCAATTTCTTTTCTTTGGAGAAGGTTATACTGAATTAAAAGACATTTCTGCAAATTTCAAAATTAGCAATGGTTGATTCTCACCTTTCTATAAGAAGTTGACAGTAAGGTCAAGAGCAGGTTTGTAAGGGGGACAGAGTCAATAAGCCTCTGAATCCTCTGTATGGAGGTACTCTGGGCCATAATACTAAGGGCTGCAGGAGGACCATCTGTCTCCCAACCCTAAAGTAAAAATATCAGAAGAGAATTAATAATATAATTGAACAAAAAACTCAACAATTTTGGGGAGGAAAATGTGCAACAATGAATAAATAAAAGGGGGGGGGAAATCCAACAATGTGGTAGATTTTGCTAGAGCACACATAAGTGAGTCCAGTGATGAAGCAATGTATCTCCACGACGACAGCCTCACCTTGTGCAGAGCTTCCACTTGCAGGTCTTGGAAGAGAGACGTTAACAGTTTGATTGCATGGTTTGCCAATATTACCGAGAGCACTCCAAATCCCTGATGCCTACACAAAGAAAAAAACAAAAAATATAAACTTTAAAATAAACAGAAAATGAATTCTAACTTCTGTGACATCTATGAGTACAAGAATCCTTTTTAAAAATCTCTGGCCTTTTCTTCAGGAAGGGGAAAAAAATGAACTGGCACACCAAATGCACATAAAATTAAAAAATTTAAAATCTTTCTGAAGTGTCTATCCATGGCCTGCCTAAGAAACCACAGATTTCAATATAAGAACTCCTAGAGTATAAGACATTAGTTAAAAGTAGGTGAGGGAGCACTTATATTACAATGAAATGTTCAAAGAGCTGGAGTCAGAAAATCAAAAGGGATGAAGTCGCTCGGCATTTCTTAAGCTGAAGGAATTAAAGAACAAATTCAAGCCTTGAGTTGCAAGATATAAGGAGTACAAAGAATCACTATACCAAAAAGAACTGGCTGACATAGAAGAACTTCATGAACATATGACCAAGAGGCAATGATGATGGAGGATGTTCAAGCTTCAAAATACTATGTATTTTTTTCTGATTTGAATCTCATAAAAATAATAAAACATACAGCATTAAATAGATAATTCTCAATCTTACAATATATAAGGAAAAAGAGAATGAGTGACTTACCCAAAGAACATGGCTACAATCTTGATTCCTATCTTTGTACTTTTATCAGGTTTTTTATCAGGTGATTTTATAAAGTTGCCTGTCCAGTCCCAAGGACCCCACGTGACAGACTAGAGGTATCCCAGAGGGCTTTCTTGGCAGTAATCTTTACAGAAATACAACCTCAGGTCTTTCTTGCACAGCCACTAGGTGGATATGAACCACTAACCTTTCTGCTAGCAGCCTATCTCTAAACTACTGCAACATCTGAGCTCCTTTAAACTAGATACGGGGCAAATGTTTCTACCAATGTGTAGATGAGAAGTTACACTAGTTCATCAATACAAAATGTCAGGAAAACAATCAAACAAGCAAATGTGAACGGTAACTGAGTAGACACATACCCTTTTCCAGGCCCAAGTTTAGGAGAGCCCACTCCTTCCTTGGTACGAGAAAGGATGTCTCTGACTCGGAGTGCAGCCAGTGGATCTTTCTCTTTCCCCTTATCAGCCAAGGCAGTAGGACTGAGGTTCAGTATAAGGAAAAGACTGTTTAACAAACACCAGGCACCCAGCAGTTGGAAGTTCTGATAGTGCTATTATAAAAGGCACAAAATAAAAATATAAGCACAGAAACACTCACATCAAAAGAAACTATAAAACATGAGCATAGCAGAAACTGTTTCTTACCTCACCACCAGCCCGGCGGGAATTGCTGATTGCTTGTCCAATCATGTCATAGATTTCAAGCTGTCCAATATCAAACATATACAGAAATCTGAGTAAGTTGACATATTTCATTATAAATTTTATATACTACTCAAATTAATTGAGCTAAAGAGTTAAATAGCTTCAGGACACTTTTCAGTGGTATAATTTTATCACTTTCCTTAGATCTTTCTAAGTCACTCTCTTCATTCACCTCATATGTTACCTTCTCAAAGAGGCTTCCCAATTTAAAACGGCACACTCAAACCACACTAGGTCACCTTCTTTTTCATCACTATCTGAAATTATTTTGCTTACATTTCCACTAAAAATATGCAAGACTTCAAAAATGCGTACTGAGGAAAAAAAAGACCTACTTACTGAAGAAAAAACTACTTGTTGAAGGTCTACTGCAAGCACAAAGTTGTCATGCTATCAACAGAGCTAACAATGAAAGATAAATATTTATTTAAATCAGTCCAACAAATAATAAAGCTGAAAGGGCTCAAAAACTAAAGCAAACCCACTTCTGTCAATTAAGTTCTGGCTCACTGTGGCCCTCCATCTGGTTGCTGAGGATGTAAATATTTACAGAAGAAACCCTATCTTTCTTCTGAAAAATAGTTCATGAATTCAAACTACAAACCTTTTAGTTAGCCCAGTATATTATGCACTATGCAACGATATTGCCCTTACCTAAAAGCCAAGGGGAAGGAGTGTGGAAATTATACTAAGTGTATTCTTCAGTCAAAGAAGAAAGTAAAACTGACCATGCTCCCTTATTAGAACAATTTTTAAAAAGCTAAATTAATTTGAATAGGACATAGAATTTGTAATGAAATACGTTAAGGCTGCCAGATCCCCGATGTTTGGCTTACACATTTTTGGACAATAGTAGCAGCATCACTTTCATAGTCTTCTTCTTTGGAACTCGTGGAGCCTGTCCGCACTTGCTGAGTACTACCCACATGAAGAATGGCCATACAGGTTGCCACACTCACACCTGAAAAAAGGAGCATATTCGAATCTTGGTCATAGAGGACCTCCACCAAAAGTAATTCTATTATGTGATTACAGAATATATCCACCACATAAGCATTACTCAAATGACCTAAAACTTTATGTCATGCAAAAACCTGCACACAAGTATTTATACCAGCTTTATTCATAACTGCAAAAACCAGGAAGCCACCAAGAAGTAATTCAATAGGTGATGAATGGACAAACTGTGGTATATTCATGCAATGGAATGTTACCCAATAATAAAAAGAAACACGCTAGCAAGCTATGAAAATACATGGAAAATATACTTAAAGCATACTGGATGATTCCAACTTTATGATATTCAGAAAAAGCCAGAACTACAAAAAGATCAAAAAAATCAGTGGTGGCCAGGGATTTAAGTCTGGGGGTTGGGGTAGCAGTGCCTAGAAAATTTTTAGGGTGAGGAAAGTTCTGTATGATATTATAATGATGAATACATGACATTATGACTCCTAGAGAATTGTACAACACAAAGTAAGCCCTAATGAAACTATGGATGTTCATTAATAATAAGATATCACTACTGGCTTGTCCACTGACACAAATGTACCACGCTAATGTTGTCAATAAAAGAGGCAGCTGTGCAAGGGGATAGGTGTTTAGAAGAACTTTAGTACTATCTGTTTAATTTTTCTATAAATGTAAAATGGCTTTAAAAACGAAACCTTTTTAAAGGTTTTTATTATTTTTTAAATAATAAAATCATAAATTTTAGATTGAATTTTATTTTAAAAATGCTGTTTACATTGCTTGTGCCTCCTCAAATTTATTTATCAGTATCCTAACCCCTCTAAGTGTAAATGCAATACTGTAAATATCAGCATACAATGTGTCTTTAACTTTTGCAGTATTAAAGAGTAGGTACAGAAGTGAGCATAAATGAGGTGAAGACAGCATGTCATGTCATGTCATGTCATGTCATGTCATGTCTAAGGGACCTGAAGAAGAATGCTACAAAAGATCCATCAGAGATTTTCCCCCAGTGGACAATCAGAATTCCCCCCAGAGCTACCATACTGGATTTGAACTTTCCAGTCCCTAAACTATAAGAAAATAACTTTCTGTACTTTAAAATCACCTCCTTGTGCTATTTATGTTAAAGCAGCACTAATAAACAAAGACAAATCTCATACTTGTTTTTTCCCTAAGACATCAAAGCCAAATCCCTTTTCTTACATTAAATCTTAAATGATCAAACTCAATTATAAATCTTTAACATAATTATGAATTTTAAAGGATTCTTTAGTCCTAATTGATTTTAATCACTTACACCCTGAGATCAGTATGACAGTCAAGAAAAACTTACAAAAAACTGAAAAAATCTAATTAATAAACTGAAAGATTGATTCAAAAATTAAATGCAAGGCACTGGAAGATTAACATATTAGAGACTGGGACTTGGAAAGAATACATTCTTGTATGTATTCAAAACTTTCTGTTCTTATTGCTGCTGTTAGGCTAGCATATAATCACATAAATGGTTTTCTTAAAATATGGCTGTGATCATATAAGACTTCAAAATTTATACAGGCTGTATCTAGAATAAAGTGGAAATGTCTTAGTCTGGATTTCTTAGACCTCTGTGACTAGGCTGTACTCTTCTTTTCACCTTACTCATACATTGACTTAAATATGCACACACTTATGCAGTATGTTCCCCCAAACTCTAGAATACTTTTGGTCCTGCTTTCTCCTCTAATATACCCAAGCTAAAATCCTACTTGTCACTACAATATAATAGAACTCCTTCTGACTTCTCTAAAAGAAAATAAGCTCTGCCTCCTATAAACTTCCATAAGCACTTTCTTCTCATTTCTTATTTTCTTTTACACATGAAATTCACTGATTAATGGCCTCTAAAAGTCTGTAAGATCCTCAAGAGCAAATACGTTTTATTACCATAGATGTGCATAATAAAACTGTTGAGAATTCAGGGAAGTTACACAGCATCTGCTTTCTCAGGGCAACCGGGGTCAGGTTTCCGAGACCGCCATCCAAACCCTCACTTGCAGAACACCAAGTGAACTTGTGAAACTTATACCTCATAAGACATATCAGGCTTACAGTATGTCTTGGAATATAAAACCAAGGATCATTAATTTACTCTAGCAATAATTGACTTTTCATATTTACTGTGACACAGTTACTGTAACAAACAACTGATTTGATGCAACACTACCAAACCCCACTTCCAAAGTAGCACGGTCAATGGAAGAAAGAGGATCCTATGGGAGTTATATTTTTCTGAGAACAAGTGCACCTATTGAATAAAGCATTCCTCAAATCCAGTTCGACAGCAAATTCAATGTCTCCTTTCATTGTGTGTACACAGTATCCTATACTTCTCCTGCATTCATTATCTGCTTTATAGCCTCATCTATTCTCCATTGCTTAGTGATAGGCTACTAAGGACAAAGACTACATGTTCATCTCAATAATCCAAAATAATGGTATTTGACATTTTGATTTATGCAGCAAAATTCTTTTTTTTTTCTTGTCTTGTTGGATATTAGATGTATATTAGATGGATCTTGGGTTACATTACAGTAAGGTTTAAGAGAGAATTCCAACAATCTCATCCCTCACATGTGGAGATACACAGTTTAAAATGCAGAGTCCAGCAGGAAGGCAGAAAATGTGTAACATTGAATGAACACATGTTTTAAAAAGAGAAAATGCAGAGCCCATGTGCCGCCCTCACCTGCCCTGCAGACCCGCAAATCACTAGTGCACAGCACATGCGCACCTCCCTTTGCCGCCCATCCCATCCCTGTGCATGTGTACCCGCATGCGGGCACGTGACCCCGCCCCCACCCCTGAATGGGTGGGTGTGGGGCCAGGGCCACGGCACCGGAGCTAGGAGCCCGGAGCGAGGCCACAATTGAGGGTGGGCTCTGCCTCCAAAGCAGCAGTGAGGTTCGAACTCTCCGCGGGGGTTCTGCAGCAGATTAATATGTATGATGTTGTTGATGTTGTTAGGTGCCAACGAGGTAAGTACGACTCATAGCAGTGCCAACAACAACAGATCTGAACCCTGTCCTATCCTGTACCATCCTCACAATCTCTGAGCCCATTGCTGCAGACACTGTGTTAACCCATATGGTTATGGGTCTTTTTTTTACTGACCCTCAATCTTTCCAAGTATGATGTCCCTTTCCTATGAACAGCCTCTCCTAGCAACATGCCCAAAGTATGTGAGATGAAGTTTTGTTATTTTTGCCTCCAAGGAGCATTCTGGCTACACCTTCCCCAAGATCTATCTGTTCTTTTGACACTCCATGGAATATTCAGTATTCTTTTCCAATACTACAAATCAAAGGCATCAATTCTTCCATCTTCTTTATTCACTGTTCAGTTCTCACTCACATCAAGTGTTGAAAAGACCACTGCCTGAATTATGTGCACCTTAGTCCTTAAACTGACATCACTGCTCCTTAATAATTTGGAGAGGTCCTTTCCTGCAGACCATCTCCGTGCAATATGTCTCCTGATCACCTGACCGCTAGTCCCAAGGGTGCTGACTATAGATTCAAGTAAAATTAAGTGTATATATAATATGTATACACAGGAGAAAAGCAAGTGGATCTATGACACAATGTCAGTAGTTGACAAACAGGACAATTTAAAAGACTTGCAAAGCCCTAATTCACCTAGATAGCAAATGATGCCTAAGGGAAGAAAACATGTGAAAGGTGAGAAAGCAGAGTTACTCAAAAGGATTCTCATGGTTTCTAGAGAATATACCTGAGCTTGACTGAAAAAATGAAACCAGACACAATGACCTCTCACCTGCATACAGGCAACTTAGGCTGAGGACTGTCACATCCTGTAGTCGGGAAGGATTGAGAGGTTCCAACACAGGCAGAGAAAGGGTATCCAATGCCATGGTTACATCAATCACCAGAGAATGAAAACTGAAACGTAACAGGGAAATTAACAAAACTATCTTACAAGATAATTTGTTTCTATAATCTGGTAGTTAAAGGAAGCCAGTATGCCACAAAAACCAACCAGCTATATCTCTTAGAATGTAAAGTTTATGCATTCTGGGAGAACCTTACCCATTACGAACAGCTGTAGCATCTGCTACTGTTGCAGGCATGATGAAGAAGGAATTTGCCAACACTGCATCTTGAAACCGATTGATATAGCGTAGGAAATACGGCAAGTTCAAACACACACGCAATAGCTTCTCTGAGCCACCTGAATTAATAACATAGCAAATGGTCTGAAAAGGTTTTATTCTTCTCCACATGGAAGAATAATTATCAGAATTTTTGAAAGCAGGGGAACCAGCTTTATGATATATATAATGGAGTCTTACCAAGCTCTTGAAGACTGGCCACGTTTTGAGCTATGAACACATTCTTTGTTTTGGTAGCAGAGGCTTGATCTGTAGATGACTGCTCGTCATTTTCTCCATCCGCCTGAAAAAACATAATAAAATATAAAAGAACTATTAAGAAGGATATCATGTTCACTGACTGCTGCCCTGGAGGTCAGAGCTTAATCGTCTGTTCAAAGCAGCTCCACCTTAGACTAAACTGTGTCCCTCAAAAACTGTACATGTTGAATTCACTAGAATTGTGGAAGCAATACCATCTGGGAACAAGTTTTCTTCATTATGTTAATAGGACCATTTGAAAATAAAGTATGTTTTAAAACTAATCACTTCTGTGAAGCCCAACCCAAACCAAGCCCACGTCATCAAGTTAACTCTGATTCTGTGATTTTAAAGGACAGAGAACAGCCTCATACGGTTTCCAAGGTTATAAATTTTTAAAGAAGCTGATGGTCACATATCTTTCTCCCTCAGAAAAGCTAGTAGGTTTGAACCACCAGCCTTTCAGTTAGTAGCTCTGTGCTGTGTTAACCATTGTGCTACCAGAATTCCTTGAGTAATACATGAGTAGCACAGACACTGTCATATAAACACTAATAGGGGAAGAGAGATGCCATGTAAAGACCACCAAGGGAGTGAGGAAAGCTGGAGCTACAGATGGTAAAAGAGAGAAGGATTTCCCCTTAGTTAACAGGGAGCACTTTTTCCTCCTGAAAGCTGGTGTCCTGAATTCAGACTTCTAGCTTTCTAAACTCTGAGGAGGTAAACTTTTTAAAGCCACCCACTTGTGGTAGTTCTGATATTGCAACACTATGAAACAAAATGACCCACTCTTTAGACTCTCAAATCAATGATGATAAAATTTCAACTAATGATGGAAAAAATGCAAGTTTATTTTCCCAAAAAGAAGGGGAAATAATTTTTTTTAAAAAATTGCATACTACATATAGCAAATATAGTGTGATATATCTCTTACTGAAAACTAGAAATCATCACGGTTATTTATCTATTATTGATAAAAGCCTTGAAGAATGGTCATCAGTAACTGTGGACAGAAATATAAGTTTTACTTTTTTCTGTTTTGCACTCTTCAATTTTTTTTCACTATCACAGACATAAAGATCACTTTATATATAAAAAATGTTGTGTGGAGCCATCACATCAGTTTCAATTCATAGAAACCCTCACAGAGCAAAATGTTGCCCAGTCTAATGCCATCCTCACATATATGCTCCTTACTTACTCTAGAGTTATTATCTTAACCAACACCGTAGAGATGTGAAGATGGGCCTCACATTCCACTCAGTAACTCACCAGAGTCTGTGGGCTGATGGGTGGTGATGCTATAGTTTTAGGGTTGAAAACTGAGGTCAGCTGATTTAAGAAATTCATCTGTACTTCTTTTTGCCTCAGTTCTGGGCTCACTGGGGAGGCAAGATCTTTCTGATCTTCCACTGTAAAAACACAGAAGCAAAAAGAGATGAAGAAGGTAACACTAGATGGTAAAACAGGAAAAATGTGACCAATGAAGTGGCTAAGCTACTGCATCTGTCAAAGAACACCTACCATCTGAAAGTGTCTTCACAGTTTGAGGCAGCTTGGCAGACTTCATCATTGCTGTGAATGTTATAATTTCAGTTCTGTCTAGTCTGCTGCAGCCAGTGCACAAACCCTTGATCAGGAGGATTAGGTGTTTCTGGAGAAAAAATAAACTTAAATATTCCAACTGGACGTATCAAACTGAGATTCATATCAAGAACTTAAAATTGAGGAAAAATGCCAAAGCAAAGAGTAGAGTATATGGGCCTTCAGCCTATATCTGGATTATAGAATTGTCTTATTTTATTCTTCTAATAGTGGTTTTTTAAAAAATCTGACATACTAACTTTAAAAAAAAAGAGATGTTACACACAAATCCAGATTTCTTAACCATATCAATCAATAATTTCTTATTCTTATCGATAATGAGAGATGCACTGCAATCTAAAGGCACAGTTTGAATCCACCAGGTGCTGTGGGAGAAGGATGAGCAATCTCCTCCTGTATAATTTACTGCCTCTGAAAACTCGCTGAAGGGTCAACTATGAGCAAGTTGTTGACACAACAACATCATCATCAATAATTCACAAGCTCTAGTAACTTCAATCTCCATTCCTACGTGACAACACAGTGGTTAACTGACCACTTCAGATGCAGCATGAACTCTTACATTAGGGAAATTCACTCATTTATGTTACTAGTCTTGTCAAATAGGTGTATAAGCTCTGTATCTGGGATCAATAAACTATTTCTCCAGCCACCTGCTTTTGCAAATAAAGTTTACTAGTACTTTCACTCTCATTCATTTATGGGCCATTCCATGTTGATGGTTGCATTCACACTACAGAACAACATAGTAAAAATATATGGTCCATAAATATTTACTTTGAGGCTTAATACAGAGAAAACTAGCCATCTTAGCTCCATGCCATTCCTTGTCCATTAGTTTTTTCAGTCAGTCATAATTTTACCTCTAAATAGAGGCAAAAATAGGCAATCATTCTCACCTGGGACACAGCACAAGCCTCATCTGGATTCTCCAGGCGTAAAAGAGAAAACTCAATCAGAACTTTACAGGCTGCTGCCACTGACTGAAGTTGGTTCCGGGGAACTAAGAAAGTAATAAACTTCAGATTACTATAAACTTCAGGATCACAATTAATAAATAATAAATCAAGCAAACAAGTATCACGCTCCTTATGGAAAACACTTTCAATATTATTCTATGATATCAATCCAATTTATTCATAACCAAGATTTCAATGGGCAATAAAGCCATCTTAGCATTAACAGCCATCAATTTATTACAGAAGATTTACTTTATGCTTAATAAATTAAGATAATTAATGGGCAAGGAGTTATACTACCAAACCAAAGATATGCAGTTCAAATCTACCAGCTACTCAACAGGAGAAAGATAGGCAATTTCTTCCTGTGCTATTTACAGTCTCTGAAAATCGGTTCTAAGGTCAGTTACAATTTGGTTCCAATTTGACAGCAACAAGTTAGGGTCTGAGTTTAATAACAAAAGTAAATAGCTGTATCACATTTACTATGTGCCAAGTACTTCAAATACATTATCTAAATCTTTAAACCAATTCTATGAAATGGCTGTTATCTCCTCTACCTCTCCCTTTTTTAAAAGCTGAAAAACTTAAGGTCCCAAGAGGTTATCTGACTTCCCCAAAGCCATGCAGCTAGATTTAAATGCAAGATGTTAGGATCTATAAATCTGATGGTGCTAATCACCACATAAGTTCTAAAAGTCTTTTTAAAATAATTTCCTGCACAATGTTTCTTCATGCTAAAAGTAACTCTTCCACCAGCACCAGCATCAGTAATAAACAGTACTGGATAATGAAATATAACTCTGCATATTCCTTTCCGTTTACTAGTCAAAACAAACTAGCCAAGCAAATAATTAAAATTCTTTAAGGCTATTTTTTTTTTTTAATATTAAAAAGCAAACTGTAAACAGAAAAGCTTTTAAAGTATAATGAGTCTGATCACTTTGTGGGTAGAAGTGAAGGAAATTGGTAACTGAAAGTTAAATTCCTTCATATTCCAGAGAAGACAAGAGGAGAATTCACTTTTTCACCAAACCCAAATACGAACTAGAACCTTAGTGGTTGTAACCCAAAGGTCTATATCCATACACACTGCTTCCATGTGTTAATATTTGGTAACTATATGTATGACAGGTAGAATAAAATGTTGGGGTTGTTTTTTTTTTTTAATAAAATGGTTTTTTTATTGAGAAGGTTGGCTTAATGGACTATAAAGCAGGTGTCTAAACTCAGTAGCTTCTATCTCCCACATGGTGAACAAGGTAAAACTTTTGGATCCCCATCATAACTGACAGTTCCTAACTGACTATACTCTAACAGTCACAAGCCTTCAGAATAATGACAAAAGTGAAATACTTACTGAGGCTGCACACTGTTGTAATATAATGTGTGGAAAGTGCAACAAAAGATGAATAGAATGGCTCATACTGCTTCTCATGGTGCAGGATTTCTGATTCACTACAAATAAAATAATTTAGCCAACATTCATTAAGTGTTCTCTATATGTTGGATAGCTAATTCACAAGCATTATTTTCTTAAATCTTTGTTACAACCATATGTAGTTATAACACAGTTACATCATCAGACTGGGAAAATGAAAACTGAAAATTACAAAAGTACACAGTTCAAAGTATCACGTTTAAGAGATGCCACAGGCTAGCAAACAGGAACTATTTCAAAAATCACTTAGAATTTTTTCACTCTAACCAAAAACATACCATTCTGTTAAAATGTAAAAGCTAGGGAGCACTGGTGGCCTAGTGACAAAAAACTGCACTGTAATCCCAGAGGTATGCAGTTCAAATCAACCAGATGTTCTGCTGGAGAAGGAGGGGAAATCTCCTCCTGTACTAGTCAGATCCAATCTGACAGCACACACACAAAAAATAATGGAAATAATTTTAAAAAAAAATCTAAAAGCTAACATTGCCTTGTGATAGTCAAAAGAGTTGACAAAAGGTTTCATAAAATACTGAGAATTTAGATTAGTAGGATATCCTGAAGAATAGAAAAAGCTAGTCCACATGTAGTAACTTTAAAAAATAAAAAAGTTCTTTAAAAAACCATCTTCCTGTGAGCTGCCATCAAGTGAATTCCAATGCAGGGCAATCCACTATGCTCATAAAATTGCTCCAGTGTTTTAAAAGCTGCGATTTTTGGAAGGAGATTGTTATTCCTTACTTCTGAAACACTTTTCAGTGATTTGTGAAACTGTGACCTGATGATCATAAGTCATCAAATCAGTACCCCAAACCAGAATACGTTAACTACCATAGCCCATAGTTCTTTCTCCCATCTATGTTGGATATACTAAAGATTCAGTGATTTTACCTACATCTCTACTCTTCAGCACTCTTCTGTGATAACTCCTGCATAAATATGTCTAAATTCTGGATACATCTGCACTAGTCTACTCAATCACATACGAATTTTGAATCTATAAAACATGAAAGCAAAGTAAAAACCACAATATATTATGGAATGTAAATGTGCGAGGAGCTAGAGTCGGAAAATCAAAAGGGCCAAACTCATTCACCATTTCTTAAGCTCAAGGAACTGAAGAGCAAATTCAAACCTCGAGTTGCTACAATCAAGGATGCTTTATGAAGAATGTTAAATGATCCAGGAGGTATCAAAAGAAGATGAAAGGAATATA